GATATATATCAGGATTTGAAGTATTGTTGGATATATCAGATGCCGAAACATTATTGGGTTCAGATACGGGTCCTTTAGGGGCGACTCTCGGAGTCATAGCATCCTCACTTCGTAAGTCAGAATTTGAAGCGTCGGAGTAATGTTGGAATTTTTCATTTTGTTGGAGGGAGGTGCTATTATCATCCGATATAGATGTGGGAGCATCATTATTTCGTAATACGTTAACGTTGTTTTTTTCATCAGATTGCAATTGGTTCTGTTCTATTTTCGCAACTCTAGATCTAAGCTTATGAAGTTCTTTTTCAGCATTTTCTTTCGCAGACTGTTCCAGCTCCATGATTCTAGCCATGAGCCCTGCTTCTTTATCCAAGAGCATAGCATTCTCTTTTCTAAGTTCAGGAAGCTCGGCATTCTCCTTTCTAAGCTTAAAAATCTCGGCTAAGAGCTTCGAATTTAATTCAATGAATCGATTTTGGAATGTGTGTCTGCCATTTTTATACAAGACGCAGATATGTTCAAAAGTCCGTTTAATATAGAAAAATATACATGTATATATGCAATGTAAGAAACTTTATACTAAGAAATTTCCGAGACCCGCGGTCCCGGAAAATCAGAAATCGAAAATTCTTGATTATATCGATGTCCATACAACACAATAAAATCCCGAAATACACATGCAAACAATTATTTATACGAAATCAACCGTGATGTAGCCCGTGATGGGCCATGATCAAGCATTGATTTATATAGCCACGCGGTTCAATCACGGCTGATAAAATAGTGAATTTCCCTATATAATTGCCGAAGGCATATAAGCATACACAAGCTAAAAATAAAGCCCGATGTGAACGAAACAATAAATGCTAAACTTCTAGATCGTGACAGTCTCATAACGTTATCGTGTGATTGAAATTTCAGCCACGGCTGTCGCCAAAAATTCGTTAAAAAAGATGATATGTACACGGCGTAAATTGTTCTAAGCCTAATGTGGGTCAACTAACAAATACATATTAATGATGCGAAATTATAAATATAGAAGACGCTCTACTAGGAGACCATGACCCATAGCCTTATATTTAACCACGCGCATTACACTTGTAAACTTATAACACTAATCGCATTTATTTTGAGGTGTGGTATAAAATTGATATATTACGTACATTGGTTGAAATAGTTAATATCATGTATGTAGAAAGAAATATATTTGATTGTTCCTTTAACAAATCAATATTACATGGAGAAAAGAATATAAGCTAGAGTTTAAAAAAGAACCTAGTTTATATCTTCTAAATCAATGATAATAATTCTGAAGGTGATCCACCGGGACATGGAGATTTAGGAGATGAGGGAAATGTTTGATTTTCTTTTTCCGCTTTCTTTGGTGTATCCTGCACTGGCGTTGTATGAATATGATTATCTTTATTTATGGATTTATTTATTGCTTTAGTTGTTGACAAAACATCAGCCTGTAATAACAAAAGCCAGTTAGTATTAATATTCAATAAAAATTTTATGAGTATTTATCCTTGATCCTTACCTGCCAACTCATCAAGTCCACCATATCTTTTGCGAACTGTTCGAAATCGTCAAAGGAAACAGGTATTTTGATACGT